TGATTCACGTCAGAGGAATCATGAAAAAAGAATATTATTCGATTTTTGAAAAGACATGATATGCCATCTGGTTTACATATAATTGGAAAAAAAATCCACCTTTCAACAAGACAACGATCAAAGACGGTATTTCAAATTAACTTAAAATTACCTCGAGTCAAAAAAAAAATGGATCAAAAATTTTGAAAACTATGATTTGGTCTATTCAGTCTCCTGACCTCTCGCCTTAATTAGTATGGGATGAATTAGATGTGAGCATTTGACTAGAATATTCAGAATGTGAGCGTGATTTTTTTAGGGTTTAAAGAATGCTTGGATCTGTCATCAACTTTTGTCAAAAACTAGTGGAAAGAATGCCAAGAATTTGTAAAGCAGTAACAGGCGGTGGTTTTATTGGCAAAAACAAAATATGATGCTGTTTTATGATAAGTTTTTTTTGGGTTTTTTTATAGTTAAGTGCTTATTTTTGGGTTAAAATAAAAGCAAATTACAGATCTTATTTCATTTACTTTACAAAATATCTCATTTTAGGCTGTGTTAGAAATGTAGGGTGGTCCCAATCTTTTTGACTGTAGTGTTTATATATAAATTTGGTTAAAGACCAACAAAGGTTTTTAATAACCGTATAGTCCTTATGAAAGAAGTTTCTTTAGCCGTCAACCAAACTTATATAGATGTAGGTTTTGGAAAAAAATATATATATATATATATATATATATATATATATATATATATATATATATATAATATATTAAATAAGTGGTGCAGTTCAATATTTGATTTAAAAAGAACTGATACGACGTTCAAATTTTCGGGATAACTACTGAGACATTACTCTATTTATTGAACTATTTAGTTCATGCTACATTGACTGAAAATACTCCTGCAACAAAAAAATTCTCAAATTACCATATTAGTAAAAAACGCACTTTCTTAAATTTTGAAAAAAATTCAACCTTAGCGTTGCGACTGCACGCTCCAAAAGTTTTTATCCGTTAACAATAACACATTTCTAGAAAAAAATATATTTCGATTCGCATTTAATCTTTCGTCTCTGATACTACCTGGATTTACTAAAAAGAAAATAATTTCCATGCCTGAGGATGACTGTATGTACAGTTGAAAGTACTTTCAGATTAAAAAAAAAGACCTTATACAACTTGTAGTTATTAAAAACAAGGATCATAACATTCATCGAGTGGTTCGTAGGTTAATACCACTTTAAAGTTTGCGGAGAATTTTATATCATTAATTTTACTAGTCTACTTTTTGTATGAATGATTCATGTAATATATATATTAATAGTAGTACTCGTTTGGAAAACTTCGGATAGATCAACTTGCAGATATGTCAGGACATATCGATACCCGAGGAAAAAAATTGAAAATAAAAAAAAAGAATTAAAAACATCAGAACAAGACGAAACAAATCGACAAATGCTTTAAGTCCTTAGTCCAAAGAAAAAAAAAAACAAAAAAAAAACGATTAGAAAAACTAAAACGTAGAGTGCTCAAATACGCTAAATAGAGCGATAAACTAGAATAAATTCTAAGGAACCCGGCAAACGTACCTAGGTTTTACCTAAACGGATCTTCAGGGTAACCTGGCTAAAAAGATAAAGACAGAACAGTATTTATTGATAAAACCATTAAGCATAAAACCACGTGACAGGGAAAAAACCCCAAAACCTCTATTCTAATAACCAGGCTTTTCTATGTCTACACTTATTTAGAATCTCCGATCTTTGATTTAATGTTTTTTTAATTAATGTTTTTATCTGTATATAATTTTTATTTTTATATATATACTTTAGAACTCTCTTAAAGGGGCCTCTGTATGATTAAATCATTTTTATATAATTTTGAACCTAAAATACAATACTTATTTTATTCAATTGTCCTTAATGCATGGCAATATTAAAATTAAAAAATCAAGGAATTAAATCAATATTAAATGTACCATTATATATAATAAAATAATGGATATATAATTGTAATACATATATATTTTTATGAAAACTCCATTACCTCCAATCGATTGTGAACTGGGGCAGGAATTGGCTGGTCAACTTTAATGCCTCAAAAACAAAACTGCTCTCTATTAATCACCACAGAGATCCTTCCCTGCCCTCCATTAGAATGTCTGACGCTCAACTTCTCGAGGGCAACTCTCTGCAGCTGCTCGGTCTCACGTTGACGGCTGACCTGAGATGGAACAAATACATTGAGTCAATTGCTTCGTCCACCACAAGGAAAGTTGGCTCCCTGTGCCGCGCCAGGAAATTTTTCTCCCCGGAATCGATCCTCCAGATCTACACATCAACAATTCGCCCTTGCATGGAATATTGCCGCCATATATGGTCTAGAGCTCCTTCTGTTTGCCTCGGGGTCCTTGATAGGCTCCAGAGGCGGATATGCAATATAATTGGCTCTGCTCTGGCATCTCGTCTACAGACACTTTCTCACAGACGCGCCGTCGCCTCTCCCTGTCTGTTTTACAAATACTTTCATGGCAATTGCTCCGAGGAGCTGCATTCGCTGGTTCCCAGACTTCATGAGTTCAAGCGTCCTACGAGGCTGGCATCGCGCTCTCACCCTTTCACTGTCGAAACTACTAAATGTAGCCGTCTCTTCTACTCCAATAGCTTCATGTCTCGTACCTCTCGCCTGTGGAACTCCCTCCCCTATTCCAGTTTCCCTGAGAGCTATAATCTCCAGCTATGCAAATGTAATGTCAATCGACATCTCCAGTTGCCTTGATCTATCCACTACCCTTCTCCTCATGATTTCTTCTATCACTCCTATCTGATCTTCTGTAACCCATTGCGTCCTAGTGGCTTCTAGCCTTGCTTGGGGTGAAACGCTTAAAAAAAAAAAACCAAAACTATATTTTAACGTAAGCATTGTACAATGTCTACATATTACAGTTAGTTAATTACGCTGATTTAATAGATCATTATTTTTAGGAAAATTAATAATATGTAGATTTTCATGTAGACACAGTGGGCATGAGTCATTTAAGGAATTACAAATTCTCGTTTTTTTAATATTTTCCATATATATATATGTGTTTGTGTTTGTATGTGAATATAGTAGGATGATAATGATCATGCATCTATTTGTTCAAAGTTCTACTAATATACAATATATATTATTAGTCTTATAATCAATATTATTATTTTTGATGTTTTCTTATCTCTTGAATTTCTTTCTACTACGTCTACATATCATAAGAATACGTGGACAATCTTTTTTTTTTAATGTATAAATATATATAAATATATTTTAAGACATTTTTCTGTTTAACATTCTTTTATAGATACAAATATTTAAGTAAATGCTCTGTTTATAATAAAAAGTACCAAACAACATTTACCGGCCTGAATGTCCGAGAAATTTTCACAGAAAATATTCGTCCTCCGACAGGATTCAAACCTGTATCTTATACGGAACAGTCATTTAGCGTGACGTGCTTTTACCGATTTAGCCAAGAAGGAGCATTAGGTCAGCAAGGTCAATTTACTGTATTTAAACTTCAATCTTCCATGAATCTATCATGTGCATTCATGTCTGCTCATGACGTATCAAATGTAAACAAATGACGTCACACATTATGAAATGGACATTTAACTTGACGTGCCTTTCTCGAATATTTTCTATGAAAATATCTCTGTCATTCAGGCCGGTAAATGTTGTTTAATACTGTTTATTATAAACACAGCATTTACTTAAATATTTGTATCTCTAAAAAGAATGTTAAACAGAAAAATATCTTACAATAATTGTCTGACTTTGTTCATGTCATAATATATATATATATATATATATATATATATATATATATATATATATATTCACGCGGAAGAGTAACTTGTCAGCTGTCAATATACATCATAACACCCTCGAGCGCCTAGCCTTGGAGCGGGTAGAATGGAGATCAACGTGTTTTAGTGAACTCAGCCGTTTTCAATCAGCTTGCCTGAATCGTCTTCAAGATCGAGAACAAGATCTAAAAAAAGATCAGCCAATCTAACAGTGATCTCATCCCCCAAGCCTCACTCTTGCTCCATATGCGGCCTCCTTTGTAAATCACTAGCGCGTGTTAAGTGCCACTTAAGATTATCGCACAAAATTTCATAACTGAATCAATTAAGTTGTCAGCAGATCCTATACGTCGAAACCAACGGGAGAGTCTATTATATATATATATATATATATATATATATATATATATATATATATATATATATAACGAGATAGATAGATAGATAGATAGATAGATAGATAGATAGATAGATAGATAGATAGATAGATAGATTTATAAAGACCAATGAAAGTTCTTTGATAAGGATTTTTCGGTTACATGTATGGCTTAAAAATTGCGTTCAACCATGAAAAACACTGTTGTCACACGGTGTTGAGCACATTGTCTCCACTTATATTCACTCTGTCTCTGATAATGAAAAAATGCACCCATAAGAATTGCATCATGAATACTTATATATGAATTGGTATTTACTTACAACTGATAGCAATATCTACAGGCCAGAGCAGAAAATAGACTAATTCCATTAGGGATCTCGTCACATCTTCACCGAAATGCTGTTATACATATATTAGGTGAGCAGTGAGCAGTAAACACACATCATTATATTGAAAGAGGTGCGTTTACATATTGTAAAAGAGATACTATAAACCAATTAGACAAATATTACACATATACAAAAATCGATACGCAAATAGGCATTAATCGATTTTAATATATATATATATATATATATATATATATATATATATATATATATATATATATAAGGGCATTATGACAGTTGTGAGGCCCAAACAATATAACGTATGTGTAATGGTAATGTTAAAATGACGTCATAACGTCGTCACCGCATAAATGTCTGCCCTCTCTGACTCATGAAGCGTGGGTGGCGGCCCATACAGACAGTAATGCCGGCTTTTTGTAATGATAAAAAGAAGTCTACTTGTAACAAAATGGGTGAAAACACGAAGATGAAAAGTAAGATGAAATAAAATTAGAAAAATAAAAAAGGAACTACGTCGACCTGAGATTTTTTTTCGTGTCTGTATGTAGTCGATGACTTGGTTTTCTGAGTTTAATTCTTTCGACTTGTCTTGTCGTCAGGTGGTTGCTGGGAAGAGAAGATATTCGGTTAACCAAATATTCTTTCTACACTTTTAAGACTGAGTTACTCTTCTTTTGTTCCTTCATTCTTGTTACGCTGACGTTAGCTAAATATTTGTCAACATAATTCTATCTATCTATCTATCTATATATCTATCTATCTATCTATCTATGTGTCTGTCTAATGATCTATCGAGCTATCAGTCTTTTATTTTCTATCTATCTATCTATCTATCTATCTACGTGTCTGTCTGTCTAATGATCTATCGAGCTATCAGTCTTTTATTTTATCTATCTATCTATCTATCTATCTATCTATCTATCTATCTATCTATCTATCTATCTACGTGTCTGTCTATCTAATGATCTATCGAGCTATCAGTCTTTTATTTTCTATCTATCTATCTATCTATCTATCTATCTATCTATCTACGTGTTTGTCTGTCTAATGATCTATCGAGATATCAGTCTTTTATTTTCTATCTATCTATCTATGTGCCTCTCTGTCTAATGATCTATCGAGCTCTCAGTCTTTCTTTCTTTTTTCTATCTATCTATCTATCTATCTATCTATCTATCTATCTATCTATCTATCTATCTATGAGCCTGCCTGTCTATTGATCTCTCGACCTATCAATCAGTCTTTCTTTCTTTTCTATCTATCTATCTATCTATCTATCTATCTATCTATCTATCTATCTATCTATCTATCTATCTATGAGCCTGTCTGTCTATTGATTTATCTATCTATCTATCTATCTATCTATCTATCTATCTATCTATCTATCTATCTATCAGTCTGCCAGTCAGAACGTATAGTGAAAATATATTATCCACGTATGCTTCTTAAAATATGCACATATACTAAAGCTGGTGAAAGAAATTCTTGAGATAAAAAACAAACAAGAAAATTATAATATTGATAATAAAACTTATAATTTTTATTGTATAATACGAGGCAAAAAAAATGGACACACCCAGAGAAAGTCGATTTTTGCGTTTTTACCAAGACAGTTGAGTAATAGAATTCATTTATTAATACAGGGTATTAATAGAGGTGTACATATGTACATTATAAAAACAGACTTAGTCCAGTGTAAATAAGCTTTGCACCAAGCCAACCGTGCCGTCGATTTGTTTATCTTTTTTATGTGTTTTGAAAAATACCTTTTGCTTTAAGCTTGCATCTGACTGTTATTGAAGAAACCGCCAAACTTGCCGCTTTGGGAACCATCTTGTACTGTTGCGAATCAATCTTTTTTTTTCATTGACGAACCAAGTTTCTATCTTCCCTGTCGACAGTTTTTAGTGTTACGTCTATTAAATATTCCAGCTTGATTTCTCTTTTTGATTAACTTGCGGACACATGACTCACTTTGATTAATCTTATCAGCTATTGATCTATTCGACAGTTCAAAATCATGAAGAACGGCCACTTGACCTTTTTCAAAGTCAGAACAATGCTTAGACATGTTGATAAATGTAAATACAATTGTAATAAGTTTTATATTTTGTTCATCATCATTTCGATGGTTGCGTCCAATTTTTTGCCTCGTGCTGTACATCAGTCGGCCTTTTGAACAAACGAAATTATGATGAGAATATATTAAAAGTGGGAATTTTTGGAAAAGCCTCTATTTTTTCTTAACGAGACGTAAAATAAAAAAAAGTCGGACTTTCCTTACTGGGGATTTTTTTAAATTTTTTTCGGATATGTTAATACGAGACGAGATGTGATCATTTGGGGCTGATTATTTTCGCCGATTAGAGTTGTATAGGGTTTCTAGAAGGTTTTCTGTGGAAACTATATTCTTTGAGCGTGCCTAAATTCCTGTTTAATTCTAGAATGGGTGAATCTATGTTGACTCGTTTAATTTTGACTTTCGATGTTTTTGTTATTATTTAAATTTTATGTTTCAATTTCATTCCCCAACCTATTATATATATATATATATATATATATATATATATATATATATATATATATAGAGAGAGAGAGAGAGAGAGGGAGAGAGGAGGAGGGAAGATGATGGATAGTAATAGTGGAGTAATGGATAGGGGCTCGGATTAAGGAATCAGGGAGCCGGGTTCGAATTTCAGTCGAATCCATTGCAGTTACGTCCTAATATCCTTGGGGAAGTGTTTTGGTTTGTTTAGGGGTCAGAAAGAAAGACACGGAAGACGAAGGTAAGATTGAACAAGTGTATTTAAATAACAGATATATACAAAGCAAGAGTGTTAGTAATAAGCAGATAAAAGTGGACGTCCGAACGGTCAGGTTAACACTGCGTCTACTCTATATTTAACAGCCCCCCCCCACACACACACACACACGTGGGTCGAATGTGTCAGAAGGCCGAGTTTATCGTGGGTTCTCCGAGACCGTAGACTCAGCCAAAAATATTCCCTCAGAAACCGTATAAACGGGTTCGGGGTCTGTCTCCCGCCCCGGACGAAGCTATGCCCTTCGGCATAGCTTCGTCCGGGTTCCTCTCTTGCCAAAGCAGTGAGATCGGCAGAAGTCGCGCACAGTCAGAGACTGCGTCTACGCTCCCCAACCGACTCACTGCAGTTAGTATTTATGAGAGGAGGAAGAGTTCATTCTACTGGGGGGGGGGGTTACCACAACAGAAAGGTATGAATCCTCTTCTTCTCTCTGACCCCCAGCTATGGGTAAATAGCAGGACAGACTGGATTGTGTCTGAAATACCGGTTGCCATGGTGGTCTGGGAAAAGAACAACTATGAATTCAAAACCGTTGTTTGGGAACGTTGTATGTCCTGTTCATTCGGCTCTTTCAAAAAGTGTAATTGGTTCGAAAAAAGCCTTCACCACAATAATCAAATGATTTATGCGGGTATTTTGGCTTTCGATTTCTAAGACCTGCGTTGCTTGACTTTCATACGTCGAAATCGGGGTGGGGAGTCCAGTATATAGGTCTGGCATTTCCAGCATTGAATAAGCATTAATCAGAATCCCATGGTAGTCTTATACCCCAGACAGTTTTCCTTGAAAGATCCGGCATTCCCAACATTGAACCCATGATCCTGAAATACTGCATTCGTTGGTGCGACAATGTGGTTCGATTTGAAGATAGCAGGATGCCAAAGCAGGTCATGTTTGGTGCACTAAGAGGTGGCAAGAGGCCAGTCGATAAGCCCCGTAAGCGGTATAAAGATTGTGCAAAGGATTCTCTCAAGAAAACCGACTTTGATCCTCGATCTGGAAAGAGAAAACGAAGGATAGAGAGCTTTGGAGACGAAGTAATGCAAGCGGTAAAATGATTTAAGGAGATACGGTGGAACTGTGCAAGAGATAAACGTACGGCAAAATATGGGGTTGTTGTCACAGTCCTTTCAGGGAAAGATTCTAAGATAATCTCCTATGTAA